ACCTGTCTATTCTGTACCAACCTAGAATTTCAATTTGTAGATGGCATTATTCACTTGCAAGTGGTTCCATGAAGGAGCCGTCGACATCTTCAAGAGAGACAACGCAATGTAGAATAACTCTGTCTCCGAAAAGCAGTCCAAATTAGGCTACGTTTGGATAAATTGCAAGCATCAGGTCCCTTGAAGAGGTTTTAACTTACCCAACCTATAAAAACCAGTAATTTCGCTTCTCGAAGATCTCATCTACCTCAACCGCATGAAGTAAGTGGCCCTGGCTCACAACAAAGTCGAATAGCAACCAATTTACTATGCTTTGCCCTTGTGAACTACTTTCCTTTCTCTTTCTACCCTATTTCATCACGGATTTAAAGCATGTATGTAGCTGTGAATTGAATCAGTAAAAGTTCAGTTTATCATAGGCCAGCATCAGTTTATGCAAATATACTTGCGCCGTAAAGGTCACTTTCAGGTCACTTTTACACCAGCATTAGCAACGCAGTCCGTCAGGCTGCGGTTTCATAATTTGCAGGGAGAGGTGATCGGAACAACTAAAAAATTCCATCTCATTTTTCTTTAGCTGTGAAATTTGTTGGATGAGGAAAAAAACACCTGAGCCATATAGCAGCCTCACTCATGGTACAGAGAAGCCCTAAAAGAAACTGTCAGACCTTTCGCCCCGTGATGTGTCCCACTCCTGGGGAGGTGGCCTATATTGGGCACTTTTGCGTCACAAAAATTTCCAAATTAATGCAGATTTTGCAGTCTAGCAGAACACGTTGCTTGTTTCTAAGTGAACTGACGCCTTTAAAAGCTGGCATTAAGGTCACCATCTGCAGCCACTTTTGTGCTGAAAAAAAAAAAACAAATCTACAATGATCCCTTTGAAAAAACATTTAAACTTGCCAAAAAAAATTGTTATTAATTTACGGAATGCATGCCATTTGAAGTGAACGGCTGGATAGATGAACGGATGAACAGGTGTGATGGATGGACTTGACCATACTGGATAGGAAGATGGAAAGCCAAGAGAAGGAATGAGTGAAAGGAGGGATGGATGAGGAGAAGAAAGGTAAACAATGACCTTGTGTGGAGAGATGAATGACTTAGAGGCAGAGGGATGGTTAATGGATCATGGCCTACCAAATCCTAGTCCACTATTCACACCACCTACTACTCACCATTCTTTCTCCTCTACCATTTGAACGAAATATTTCAGTAAGAATGTTTTTTTTTCTGGGTTGTATTGAAGTTTTGTTTAGCCCCTTGTCCAACCTCACTGGGCATAATGGAGGGGGTCATTGAAGTCACCATGAGTGGCAACTCAAGTGGCCTCTTAATGCATTGTTGAGGGGTCAAGTGGTTCCTTTCCCTACTTATGCTTACCTTTGAAAGTGGTGAGGGGATGGGTCGGGACTGATAACGCCCCACCATCACCAGTTCCAGCTGATAAATACTACTTGGAACACTTCACCTCATAGCAGGACTTCCAAGGATTGTAAATACAAAGTGTGTATCAGATATGCCAGAGACGAAATCCCGGATACAGTTGAACCACTCTAGAACAGACTTTTCCACTGATTTAGTGAAAGTATTGACTTCAGAATGGAAGGACTAATTCGCGCTTCATTAAGTATAATGAAGTGGTCCAGAAAATCTTTGCCACTCATGTCAGCCCACTTCAACGAGTCACTGCACATTCCTGTGTGGTTATGACGTAGAGGCTTTTTGACAGCGTCAGTTTGCAAACTCTTCAAAAGTACACACATTTCCGAAAACCTTGTCTGCGAAATGTCTAAAATTAGACGCTTCATGTACTAAAAGTTCACAGGAATGTCCTCAGAACCGCCATAACCAAAACTGTCACTAGTGCTCAGACTGTCTTTAAAGCGTTTACATCATCCTACTGTGATTGAGCTTCCCATCACCACCACTACATTCCTCGAAGCCTTCTTGAGGCGCAGGTTGCTTTTTCAACGCTTACTTTAGCTACCTCCAATATCTGACAGATTGACTTAATGGCACCTAGGCAGATCCACGACATGTTCACTGGCTGGAAGTTGTCAATTACTACTGCGTGTAAGGTCACTGTGGTGGCAGGTCATTTTAAGCAGCCAGAAAACCTCAGCTGCCTTTGATGTAGTCTACTTATATACTACTTATAATGCTTAACTCAAATATGGTCTAGCCTAGATGTCCTACTCCAAAACAAGCACTTAAGGACCAGAAAAATATCCACCTAATAGAATAAAGTGGTGGATATCAAGTGTTAACTACCTGGTCTACATCAATGACGATATCTCTGTGAGTACGCCTTCATTTATTCTAAGGGAACAGAAAAGGATGTGTTTGGCCTCGGAGTGAAAACTTCCACCCCTTTCTGGCAGGTGGCGCAAATTCCGCTTGTAGATGAGCCAACCACACGAGAGACCTGAGGAAGTGAGTTTAGGCCAAGCCAGTTAGTGTGAGAAGTTGAGTCGGCGTCAGTTGTATCCAAGGCAATCCCAAATCGTCATTTGGGGCGACAATGCGGTCGCAAAGTCACTCACAAGTTCAAACTCCATTGGATCATGCAAGTACAACTTTATTTCACTCACGAAGTTGATCAACGGCAAAACCAGGACGACGGGCAGCAGAGAAATTGGAGCATCTAAAGTCGATGAAATTAGCAACCTAACATACAGTAGATCTGAGATTTATGAGAGGCGTTCAAAGTAAATGGGGACATCTGATACAGCGGTCACAGGGAGCACAAACTTGATGGATAACTCTGGTTTCCACTCGTCCATGTGACCACTCGTATCGAAAGGTGACACTTCCGCACGCAGATTTGATGTGAAGCTGCTATGGGATTAATGAAGCCTACGAGTGTGTCTGTTCGATCTCAAGCCTACAAGAGACAATTCTCCCGGTGTTGTGAAGCCGTTCTTGCCCAATTGCTGCTTCAGCAAGTGGAACGCGAAGTTGCAAAAGAGAAGAACCATCAAGTGGGATAGTTGGAGGCAACCACAAACAAATATTTGTGTGGTTCGTAAGAATTAGCAAAGACTGAGCACCAAGACAATTTCAACTTTTAAAAGCCTTTAACAATGCTAGCCAGCACTTTTCTAAGCTCCATCAGTACCTCAAGCAAAACGTGGATCTATAAAACCACTTCAGGAGGATGTCCACCAGATCTGGATCCATAATGGTGAACCAGTTCAGTAACCTTGGCAAGGTCGAGCGAGTGGTTCAGGGGGAAATGTCATTAGGTACTCTCTGAAATCCATTTTTATTAAGTTCCGATTCAACTAGAAGGTTTTCTGTATATTGCAAATAAATTTGTCTCCGGGGTACAATGACAGTGGCTGTCATGAGCTAAGTCCGCGGAAATATTTTTGATTGGTGGATAAGTACATTCTTAAATAAACAAATTTCCGCCAACTTGGCTTCCACTTTATCGTACCAGCTGACGGGTTTGACAGCTGTTGAATCGGCCATGTGTAAATATGCATATTCCAAGGGGCCCTATTTGGACCAGTTTTGTTTATCTGTTAAAGTAAACATTTGATCCTGGTTCATTGTGCTCCGCCGCACCTGTTGGTTGGCGTTTTCCTCAACACATCTGACAGTTTTACCACTCAAAATGTCTACTTTCCCCCAAATTTCTAGCTTGGTAGGCGGTTTCATAAGGGCCATTTACTTCATGCAACCGAGCGTTTTATTACCATTACATGGAGCATTCCAGCTTGAAGGTACTACTGAAGGTGCCATAAAATCTTTTGTAATTAAGTTAATTATTCCATCTGCGGATTTCACTTCTAGAATGGAGCAGAAAAGACTGCTCCGAATACCGGCAATATGGACTGACTACTTGCCAATGACTGCATACCTCAGTGCAGCACTGTCGAGGGTTGGAATAAGAATCTCCTCATCTCTCAACAGGGTGACTTCAATTAATTCCGCTTGCGAATGAACCAACCACATGAGAGACCTGAGGCAGTGAGTTGAGGCCAGGTCAGCGAAAGTGAGGAGAGGTTGAGTGAACGTCGGCTGAACTCAATGCCATCACTTGTCCACATCTGAGGCGACGATGCGGTGGCCGAGCCATGCAAAAGCAACTTCATTTCATCCACGCAGAAGATCGGCAGTGGAGGCACAATGACGGAAAAGGGGGAAACTGGAGTAGTCAAGGTAGTAGAAACCCAACATGGTAAGCGTCTACCTAGGCAGAATCATCTTGCATAGGCAGGAATACCAAAATGCATTTCCAGCTGGCATAACTGTTGACGCGTTGATTGCTTCACTGAAATGCTGCCGACGACTCCTACAATGCAACCACCAAAGTGTCTCGTGTTTGTTAACAAGAGAGTCAACATGAAGTGAACAGAATCCACAATCAGCTATCAATAAGAAACTGTAAGTTTTGAGAATGTTGTGAAATGATTTAGAAGGATGGTAAGTGAGAAGCCTGTACAATGGAGTAGTGGACCTTGAATAAGCGTCTCTTCTATTTGAACTCTTTGGATTTTGATGTAAGATAATCATTCGATCTGCTCTTTTTGCTTCACCACACTTGTCGGTCAGTTCTTTCTTTTTCACCTCTGACCGATCCACTCTACAGTAGATCTGCTTTGCTGCAATGCCCTGACGTGGCAGGATGTTTCACTTTGATGTATTGCTTTGTGTCAAAGCACAGCCAAATGAGGAATGGAATTGATGTCTTGTGTTCACCTTGGAGTGAGGTATGTTTGACGGAAGGCAGAGTAGCACGAGACTGATGTCCTCAACAGTGGCTGGAAGTAGAATGATGTTGTGGATAGTGGAATTGTGTGCTTGAATGGTACATGCATTTCACATGGCGGGTAGCATTCACATGCATGGTGGCTTGGAGTTCAAGAACGAGACTGCAACTGTGCTAGCAGTAACCGAGACAGAGGGAGGAACGTAGAGGGCATTGGATTGATTGCCCCACTTAGTGGTTGCCAATTGTCAAGTGATTTGTTAGACAAGCATTGGCCAATTTCCCTTTTCGTTAGAAGGGAGTGTCAATGAATGTGATTGGAATTTGGTGGGGAAAGAGGAAGGACGCACCTCCGTGTGTTCGAGGAATGAAGGTCGAAGAGGAATAAATGAGCTTGGCTTCTATACTACTTGACCTTAAACTGACCTGCATAAATATCAAATTCCGTACATGTCCAGATTACTGTGACATGAATTCTGTATGTCGCCACAGTAGGTGGAATTAATGAAACCTCCTGAAGGTCGTTCACGGGGAATATCACTGGTGGGACATCATAGTATGCGAAGACGGGTGCGAATGGGAGAATGTATTGAGGTGGCTGTAGTGGATTCTTGAGGTGGTGGGAAGATTTCGTGGGTGAAAGTGAAATTTTTGGCCTTTTTTAACTAAAATGTTGCCAAGGTTAGATCGGACACGTGGTGGGCGAGTCTGCGGTTGCATAAAAGTTTTGCTTTTTAGGCAGCAACGTCATCCACCTCGAGAAAGTCGTTTGCACAGGAAAGTGAAGCCTAGGCGGATGGAATTTACTTCCGTTGATCAGACTGGGTGGAGTAAACATTGAGGCTTCTGTTAATAGATGAGTGAGGTGAGGATGGAGGGCGTCAAACTCATGTTTGCATACAAGTTCTCTAAATGACGTGGATGCATTACTCGAACTACAGCAATCTACTGTGGTGAATTTAATCCAAACATGGGCTGGGTGACAAAAGAGGGGGTGAATAGTTGTGGGGTGTGTACAGGACTCTGGGGAAGCAATGCTGTCACCGTTGACCCAACTGTCAGTTTGATGTAGATGATGGCATGATTACGTGATTGACAAGGAAATGTGGCTGTCAGATGATGAAAGAATTGACGACCTTAGGACCAGTGAGTCAACCAATGAAAGCTACGAGCTGTTGGAGGTAAGTTATGGAGTCACACGAGCCTGAGACAGGTGGTTAGTCGTTGCTAGCCTTTTTAATTAGGAGGAAACCTGGGCGGACGTGATGGGTTAATAAGATGTGGAGCAGTTTAGACACCCCTTCACTTCATTGACGTTAAAGGTTATGGCATGGGATAGGAAGCAGGTGGATGGTATTTGACAAATGGCTTCATGAGAGGCGTCGGTTGGTTACCAACTGGTGCCTTTTATTACTCTCCTACAATCCCAATCTCACTTAAAAAATACACTACTACTCGCATAACCATATGTTCCTCAATTTTAATGCCTAAATATCCCAACCCCATTAGTAGAGATTTCTGAAGGCCGAATTTAAGTTTTTTTTAGAGTGGAAAGAGATATTACTCGTAGGTCATCATGGTAATAAATGCGGTGTTAACTAGCAATTTTTTCAATCCATCATTTGGATTTGAACTCTAGTTTTTCTTGAGTTTGTTTTACAGCATTTTAGAGGCTAGCTAAAGTCCAGATAAACAATAACATTTTTGCAAAAATTGCATTCTAGTTAAGGCGAGGGTAGCATAATGCAAGAGGTCTACTTTTATCCTGGTGGTACAGCTACACTTCTTCTGGGCAGTCGCCGTTTTATATCCACCTACAATATCAGCGTATTCGAAGGACGAGATCAAACGTTTGACAGAGCACGTCGATTATCTGCTGACAGGCTGCACTTGTCACACGATATAATAATAGTGTGGTGGACATTTTCTTCTCTTTTATCAAAATCTAAGCGTTAATTGCTTAACTATATCTCCAAAATAAAAGAAGGAGCTCAAAGATTGGCAGTATTATCTAAATTAAGATGCTGCGTTCTGATTGGTTCGAATAAGCACACAGCATACCCAAGCAGACCCCCCGCCGTGAATTCCAACCAATCACAAGGTCGTGCGTCTTTGAATAAAACCCAAAAGGATAAGTTGACTGCAAATCAACATAAGAAAAAGTTTCATGCATTGGGAAGTCGACCAAACCTTTAACCTTAAATTATGCCCATTGGATTAGTTACTAGGTCAGCACTGGCTGGCCAATTAGGGGACCATTCTGATTGGCTGGAGTCGTCATTTTGGTGAATTTTTTTTCTAGAGAAATTTTTTTTTGTTTTTTATGCTTGATGGAAATCTAAATGTTTTCACCACTTTTAGATAAGATAATTGAAATTAGTAACATTTGTTACTCAATTAGACCCTTTTATTACGCTAGAGTGCTTTCGGATCAGATGAACACCCTCCTTTAAACCTTCTAACTTGGATACCAGTTTCGTCCATTTTCAAACCAGCTCAGACGCCTCAACCACAAGTTTTGCAGGCGGAGTAGCCATGGCTAATAAATGGCTTGGGTCTTGCGGTCAAAGCCATTGGTTGTATGCACGCACATACGATGTTTGAGGTCATGTTGAGGTCATGGTAAGCGCTCAGAGCCACGATTGCTAATTTTCTCTCGTCTTCCCTCTCTCTCTCTTGCTGGTTGCCATCACAACGAAGTGGCTGGATGCGCAGCGTGGGTGAATGCAACACGTCACAAGCTGAGAATAAACAAGTAAATTTGCTTTAGAGTAGGGTCCTCTACCTAGTTTACTACTGCACCCTTGTTGGGGTTAATCAGTCCCCAATAGCAAAGACTTTAAGCCAATTTAGTCATCTTACACTAAAGTTGCTTGCAATTCCATCCACATATGTCAGTAGTTCTCTTTCTAACTAATCATTAGTTACTCATTCGGTTATAGAATGTCCGTAGATTTTAGAGGAGGAATCTTCCATAAAAAGCAAAATAATTAATTCTTTGTTTAAATATAGCACAAAAGAGCTTAAACAGTTTGTCCTGGCCCTATTTATCCGGGCAAAGATTTTCTTTTGCTAATCTTCTAATCCTTTGATAAAGTTATCCTTATTTAAAAACAATTTCAGGCCCGCTAATCATTCCAAATTATTGTTTTAGCTATCAAAAAGCGGTGTGGTAATTCGCATTTAATACGATTTTGCACTGTTGAATTGTAAAGGGATATGCTCTTCCATTTTTTGGTAGCCAATCAAAACTAGGTCTGTTCTAAATATTCCTGTAGCCAATCAAAATAAACTCAGATCTAATTAATTCCGCAAAATCTGGGCAGTGAAGTTTTTGGTTGTATTTTCTATCACATAGTTATGACATGAAACAAGGGCATCACCTGACTAGCTGAACCTGAGCTTTCTAAAGCCTAAGTCGTTGTTGGACTAAACACGTTGCATTGTTTCAGGTCATGCTTTTACAAATCAACGCATAAATGACGTCGCAGATCAAAATCAGGTGAGATTCGTTCCCCAAAATATTAACATAAATCACTGTTTTTAATAGGGACCTTATTATCTCCACGCAAACTACACACGACACTGATTTTCCTATCTGAACCCCGGGGTCACAAATATGTGACGTGCTTACTAGTTCATAAGTAATGGACTCTTCTATCTCTGTGAAGTAGCAGCAAGTGGTTGGGCCAGCCAGAGGCTTATGATTGCGTGGAGCTATTCCCGAAAAATAAAACATCTAGGCTACTAGAGGCTATTTTCCTTTATTAGCCTGCCGCCAAACGCCCCAAGCAGCCTCATCATCCTTCGCCCTTTCTGCTTGACAAATGGAGACGGTCGTTGAAGTCGTTCGACTCGTACTACACTTGGGCATCCCATTGCGCACTTGTCCAGTGATCCTCCATTTCACTCAATGGGTTGATGACGCATGACGTAGGGATGACTAATTTGTCAGTTCAGTCTGGGTGCCAAATTTTCCTTGCCATTGGGAGGCTTCGAGGGGACCAAGGACCTAGAGGGGAAGGAATAAACAACATAACTGAGGCATGCTTTAGCTGAAGCATTTGTTTAATCAGAGTTCACATTGCACGGGACCACTGAATGAAAGCGTCTCAGGTGATGAGAGATATGTGATGCTGGAAATTAGACGGCGTTGTGCCCACGAGGGCTGTGTAAGACCCCTAATTCATTAGCCAAATACTAAACCAACTGCCTGAATAACTAGTGTTTGGGGATGTAGAAGAGATGTGGGATCATTGGAGAAGAGGTGTTGATGGAAGTGATTTAGCGAGTTCAGTGGGTGATGGGGATTATCTTTGGGTGAATGCGTACCTGGACATTGTTCACACCTTGTCAACACAAGCATTTGGACATGAGTGATTGACTGACTGACTGACTGACTGACCGACTGGCGATTTGCTGGAGGAGCTTAGGTCCAATCGTGGAGGTGGTGACATAGTTCAGTGTGCGGTAAGTGTGTCGTACAGATAACGTGAAGCTCAGTGATTGTGGTGGGACATCTGGTTGAGACACCATTACACCTGCTGGAGGGAGACAGCCTCATCTGTGGTGGTTATGCTCCTTGTGCCCACCGTCCACAGGCCTCGACAGTAATTGTTGTAACCATTCAGCTCGTCCTGCCCCCGACAAACACACAACCTGCAATGGAAGTGCTTTAGAGACCAGTTATGATTACATGAAAACAATGAGTGCGTCTGATCACTCACTGGGGCTGGTAAGCTCGGATGGATGGTGCGATGGGCAGAAAGACGCCTTCCTGCCTTTTGCCAACTGGACGGGATCTTCTGCGATGGTTTAGCCAAAGTGACAAGAATTTCCCTATCACAGCCCTCCAGACACCGTTTAGCTCATACATGCATGGATTAATGACTTCGGTTTTCTCACTGGGGTGGTCCAAATCTGGCAAACATCTACCATCAACAGACTGGGTGGGATTTCAACCAAAAGGATTTTCAGAAGACCTCCATGGTCTGAGAAGCAGGGGCATTTGAACTAATCAAACAGGCGGCATTTCCGAGTAAGTGACTACCACATCCTAGACACAATGCTCATTTTTCCTCCGAAGCGCTTGTGGTAAATGAGTCAAAATATAGTCGAACGTACTCGAAAATTGCTAAAAACTTCTTCAAGGAGAGGTCTGTATATTCGAGGTCACCTCTAGACAACTCGAGCGTTGGAAGGTGAAAACTTTTCCACCAAACACGCTTAGCAATGGCTAATAGGCTTACAAGACCTCAAACTTCATGCCATAAAATTAATTCATGAGTGGATTTTTCCTTTAAAAGGGGAGGAATGAGGGAAGGAAAAAGAAGGGTACACCGCCTTTATATTACCTTGACTGAACAATCACATGATTACGCAGCAATTTGGAAGCAAAAGTGAAACCAGATTTTCCTCTCTCTACTTCCAAATGTAGAATTTGCAATTAGCTCCCATCCCATTGGAAAAGGATCATAGATAGCAGTTTTCCTGCTTATTTCCATGAATTAGGGATAAGGAGAAGCGTTCTGCGATTTTTCCAACCATCTCTTGCTACAAATTTGACAAAATTTCTCTCGGTCTTAAGAGATGGCTCTAAAAATTTAACATTTTTGCCGAAGAAAAAAAAACAAAGTACTTATAACTGAACCACTGCGTGTGTGTGTTTATGCATTGCTGTAAATGTGGGCCACCAGGAGGTGCGATGACCTCTGACCCTAAAATGACCGCCGGCAGAACAACGCCTGGTAAACAAATCTGTCGATTGTACTACACCATCCCATCCTTCATTCAATCTCTCAAAGCCGCTGCTAACCATCACTTTTTTCTTTCCTATTTGCAAATAAACCTGAAGCTTGCTACTTGCGGAGCCATGCTACTTAAATGGTTATATCAGTAGGAAGTATGTTCATTCATTTACATGATCTGACGACTACGTGTACTTCTTTACAGCTATTTCCAGCTCAACATCTTGAAATGATTTGCTCAAAAGTGGTCAGATCAGATCAGCATACCTTCACCATTGAGTTCCAATTTGGCGCAGAGTTAAGCCGGAAATGTGATTGTCTCCACTTTACTACTAAATGTCATTTGACAGTCAATTTAATAACCACAGGGAATCATTTTCCTTACCTTTTCTGATTGATACATCAAACTCCAAAAAACCACCTTCCCTATTGTGACAATCAGGCGAACAGCACTACAATATCCAGAGGCTAGCTGATTAACCACCATTGAAAATAATTGTTCTACTGAATTTAAAAAGTTGATAGTTATTTAACAAGCTCAGTAAAACAAGCTCTGCCCACACCACCCGAACTGCTGGCCTACCAGCGCCCTGTGACGCCCTCAAAGGTGGCATAGGCTCCGCATTGGTAAAGAATAGGACGACTTCCACTGCGAATTTCAAACAAACTCATTCCTTAACCGACCAGCTTGTGGATGCTTTGGGTAGCGCCACAGGAGAAGGGACTAATCTGTTGAGAATTGCCTCAATGCAGGGATACGAGAATGAGCTACCTCGGATCCTGAACAGCATTGGACCAGAAGTCACATGGAACAGAAAAGATGGAACCAGGATAAAGTTCAGGGAAGCCACCTTATCTAGCCAAATGTCCTCACAAATAGGATTTACCGTACAGCACACAGAACATCATCTGACGTCGTTGGATTCAACAACCGGCATCTGATCATCATCCCCGTCCTGTAGATGAATTTACTTCTCTCGGCTGCCGAACTGATGGTATATTGAGAAGCATAGTCGTAGGGAGAGATCTCACGCAGCATTAATCCCTCCTGCGTTACTAGCCATCCAACTCTTCCTTACCCTGGTCACCGACCCATTTCCAGGCTCCTGGTGATGCTTTCAAGGTAAAGACAATCGCTACAAGTTCTGAAAAGGCAACCTCAAGTACCGATGCCTTGAACTCAACCATGAATGCTTATTTGATACTCCAAAAGAAGAAATAGTACAGGGGGACGAGCTCAGTTACTGCAAAAAGAACGGGATGCCAAATTAAAAGAAAAAACAAACATTGGGAGGGTCGTTTAGCACCAAAACTAGAAAGCGAGACGTATCAATTGGTAGAAGGGTTGAGAGCAGGGATGAGAGAGCATCAATCGGTCATTTTTTGTCCTTTTTCTCATCTTTTTGCAATGAGACCTTGAACTCCAAAGGCCATGTATCGTGATCGGTTTCCTGAAGAAAAAGGAGAAAAGTAGGCAAAGACAGCTAGAAAGAACTTTTCACAAAACCGTAATATACTGATGCAAGGACTGAAAACAATGACACGCACACACACACACACGCACCTTCTGACGAAAGATCTGCGATTTCTGCCACACCGAGGGATCGGTATTCTCCAACTCATTCCATAAGCGTGCAGTCAGCCGCACCTGCTTAGCGCCCGCGAAATCCGCGCACGCGGAAAATGGCGCTGAGCCCACAGAAAGAGAGCGACTCTTCGATATGTCAGTTGTCACGTCTAACGTCACTTTGGAGCGCTCTTCAAAAATTGCCATGGTGGCAAACAGTGTTACCGCTTTCACAGAATACTCTGTGTCAGACAGGTCAATAAGCCACTCGATCACCCCGTCTTCGTAGCTCTGACAGCCCGCTTTGCGAGCCAAGTAAACCATTTTCCAATCCTTCTCAACCTAAACAATAAAATTGGTATTCAAAACATGCAAGTAGACATTACTCCAGGAAAGCATGGACACTAGACACCTTTCGCGCGATGTTTCGCCATCGCAGAGCCATGGACGTCCAGCCCTGTTTATAAACCTCCTTAAGGTACTTCGGTCCCTCATTGGATCGCTGCGAAGACACCTCACTGTCGTCATTAGTTGTCGCTGGAGCCTCCTTATGATAGGGTCTCGCATAGGCATCAAGGGAACAACTGTAACGAATGTAGATACAACTTTGCGACAGTTCGGCCGGTGTTGGGTTGATCACAAAGCCCGAGCTGCAGACGATAAATCAAGATAGAGGATTGGGCATCTACTTATATTGATATAAGTACCAAAGAAATTAGTAGTACATTACCCCTCCCACGGAAGTGGAGCTATGCCAAATTCAAGACGAGAACGTCTCCATGATTCCGATCCCGACTTTCGGCCTTGAAGCGACTCAAGTGAGGGTCTGGGAGGAACCATCATGACAGCGAGTTCCTGGACTGTTGTAGAGAGGCCAAAAGGCGCATTTTCGTAGTCTGGAATGGCTTGAGCAGCTTCGTCATGAACTTGGGCGAGATAGCGCGCCAGACAGTTTTCGGAGACACTTTGCCGACGTCGACAGACCTATAGGAGTCGGAGTAAATAGACAGTTAGGAACAACGACCTCAAGAACTCTGCGTCTTCAAAATACCACCTACGGCCTTGAAATCGGTGGAATACTTCCAAACCACGTCTGCAACATCCACACCTTCGTAGCGAAGTAAGGCGTCTTCGGTAGGAGGTGGAACTGTAAACGCGAACATATAGGAAAGATTCTTCTTCCATCCCTGTTCATAGACCAGTGGGACGTCAACTAGACCCTCACAGGGATCAACATGAACCCAACGACCTTCTTTGCTCGAAGCAGCTCTTTCGTGGGCGAGATCTTCAAGGTCGGTTAGCCATCTAAAGGGAGAAAGAGTAGGTGCTGTACCTAAACTACTTTATATTGTAAAGATGATAGAATCGTAAGTGGTGCGCTTTTTTTAGAGCCTCTCCACAAGCTAGTTCCCAATTAAAGCTACCAAGGAAATAAGGAGGCTTAAAGAAAAAGAAGAGGAACTTACACCTCACAAAAGACATGATCCGAGATATCAAGCACCAACCGAACTCCTGGAAACCATGGTGGTCCCTTGGCAGCATCATCGTCAGCATCGGCCTTCTTGCCATCCCCATTTGCCTTCCTTAATGAGGCGAGAATGAAGCAGAAGCAGGCAGCCCACTCGCCACACCTCCCCTCCTTTGTCTGCAAGAGCTTTGCAGGGTTATTGAAACGTGGAAAGCGCTTTTGTGGATGTGAGGAGGAGGTGGGACACGTGTAAATCTCCACAAAGTGAGCTGAACCCTCAGCAAACTCAGCTTCAGTGGGATGGCCAGACTTCGCGACCATGACAGAGCCGCAATTGTCGCAGACTTGATTCTGTGTCCAGGTAAAGAAGTCTTCCTTGAACCAGCGCAACAAAGCCCGTAGAAGACTGTAGGGTCCGACGTTTTTGGGAGAGGTTCTACTTAGATCCGCTGCCTCTTTCAGGAGATTATCCAGAGGAACAGCTTTTCGGGCCAATACCTGGAAGGAGAAAGCTCACTCTAGCGCACTACATTCCGAAGTATTGATAAGGGAATAATGTCGATTATGCTACTATCAATCTCCAACTAGTAGCAAAACTACCCATCCTAGGATTGGAACGGCAATTTAAGTGATTGGCAGGGTTTTGGCTACGTCTCGTTTGAAAAACACACCACATTAGAAATATTTGTGTTGGATCAGTCAAGAATTTAGTTTCCAAACACATTCAGTATCGACTTTGGGAGTCGGTATTGAAGACGCTAAGTCAAACAAGCCTTGGTCTGTGATAATCGGTTTCTAGTGACCAAAACCACTTCAGCACACATCATGCCGACAATTTGAAGAATTAATTCTGCTCCAGTAATTAAAATCTTACTCAGAAATAAATCAAGAAGATGATATGCGACATGGGCTAATAGGATACGACAACTTTCCAACTCTCACTTACACTTCAACAAGAACAGAGCAATACCAACAGAATCTTGTGTCATCTTATCTGCGAGATCCACGGGAATAATCTAATTGTGACCTACTTGAGTCCGTTTAAACCCACAATCACTGGTTTTTCAAAAAGAAATTTAAGTCCATCAGATGAAATACAGAAATCAGGGAGAAATGGTTCAAAGCGCTATGAAAATTTGATGAAAAACAGTCAACTGATAAACACACCTGATAGGCGGGGTTAGCGTACAGGGCAACGTCGTGGCGATAGTCTTCCAGCTTTGAAAGGAGAGTATTTTCTTTAGGAGAGATTCTAGGAGGTGGTGGACCTCGAAGTTGTCGGATTAACTTGTTGATTTGTCGAAGACTGGAAATTGAGGGTAGTATGAGGGATTCAGTTAACTCCTGCAAGTGAAGAGAGAAGAGGGTCAGTTGAAACTGTACACACGATGGGCACCTGAAATCCCATGCTGAATAGGAATTGCATGCAGCCAGGAGTCACTAAGAAGTACTTCTCGAAGACCGGATCAGATAGGTTTATCTCAAAAGATTTGCCAACAGCAACTTTTGCAGCAGCAACGTTAGCGACACTCAAGAGCTTTGCTTTGGCCTTTTGAAACGTAGGAGATGATGAATTAGCTAAAAGTTCTTTAACAGACTCATCTAAATATGCTTCATCAATTGCTTTCTCCAATGCATCAACGTTACCACCTTTAGGGGAGGAAATAGGTGAGGGAAAAGCAAGGTTACCCGTAAAAGTGCGAATACAAGAGCCATCCTTGTAAAGCTTAAACGTCGGGAGAGAACTTATAAGCTCTCTGTGGGTCAATTCAGCACACGCATCCACGTTTACTTTGATAAAATACACATCAGTATAGTGATAACGGTAACTGAGTTTCTCGTAAAGTGGACTTGCTCGAGAACATGGACGACACCATACAGCATAAAAATCGACAACCAAAATTTTGTCCACAGATGCTGTACTCTGACATAATTTATCAAAGTCTTCTACGGTTTCTATCTCTCGCATCTAGATTGCTTTTGCAACGAATGAACGCACGGGTCAGAATGACAGCATACACACCAACTGGCAGGTTTCATAAAGAATATAGTTAAATCAAACCATACAAACACAGGTTAGATCCAATCACAAGCCAGGACATATCTCCCATGAAAAGGCTTAAAGTTTCATAATGCTCATTTGCAACTTGCGTTTAATGTTTGTGTAAAGATCGTCTTCAAATGTGATTAGTGGAATTCGTAGATTTTTCCTAAATACGGTACTGAACTAATTTGAAGAAAATGATTTGGCGTTTTTCTCACCAAGCC